AAATCAGGTAAGCAAGCAGAAACTGATGCCTGACTGATAAAATATCAATCCCCTTATAGGGTCACTATGAGACTCAGTGAAGTCAGTGTATCATGTTTAGTAGCAGCATGAGAGATGAAGGGTGAAAAGGAATAACCTTCACTTGCTATTGTATAAAAGCAGCCCCGAAAGTCACCAAACTTGATAGCAGGAAAAAAAACTCACAAGCCTCAGACTTATGTGAAGGAAAAAGCCTCTTCTGGTGCCAAGGATAATTCACACCCTAAAACATACATCTTTCACTAGATGAAATCCTAACAAGCACTACAGAGAGAGAACTTACTCATTGTATACATCTACACCCAACTGTCAGTTCATACTACTGTCCCCGATGCAAACATCTGGGCACTGACAGCAGAAAGCAACAGTGTGTTTGAAAAACAAGGAACTTAAACAGTAACATGAGAGACTAAGGTGCCATAGGATGTAGATTGAAATATCTGCTTAGTTTGCACAGCGTGAACGTGAATTGTGCATTGGCCTCCAGAAGCAGCAAAAAAAATCCTACGTGTTTTACCTAGTGACACATCTGCAATGGATATTTCTGGAACTGTTTGAGAGAGATACCTCTACGACATCTTCTGCCTTAAGAAAGAGCCAATACATTTGGAATGACCTTGGGACACTGAGCTTTGCTCCTTGAGATGTGCATATTGCCTGAAGCACTCAAACTGTGGCAGGACCAGGGCCTCAGGAAAAAAAACACCAGGAAATTAATAACTTTGCATTCAGAAAAGGATCTGGGCAGATATGCCTTCCATAAACCTGTGGTCACATACTGAAAACAGAAGGAAAATACAAAATGAAAAGCTGCATAAAAAGGTTATCATGTCTCCTGTGGGTCTTTCAACTGTCTGGCACGCACACTCAGCTGGACAGAGGCTGAGCAGACAATCTCAATCCTGACATTTCCTTACTGGCACACTCAACTTTTTGACTTCAAACGTTGTCTTCCAGCATGATTTTTGTATGCGTTTGTGTAGCAGCATTTAAAGTAGGATAATACTTCAACTAATACAGCTATTGTGACCTTTGCTTTGCACATGAATTTTCATTCAATCTGTCTCTGAAGGAACATAAGAGAGGAAGCATTCTTTAAAGCTTTAAGTGACTAATTCATATTTAGAATTTCAAGGGATCTAGGTCTGTCGCTCTGTGACAGCCAGGAGACCTGCAGCTGCAGTCAAATGCTAGAGTATGCTACCTATTTGCTCTGTCAAAGGCTTGTAAGAGACAAAAGGAAATGTTAATTTTAAGTTTATAAAGAAACAGAATGAAAAAGGCAATGTGGAATCCTGACTTTCCTTCAACTTTCAAGGTCTTGCAACATTTATAATGTTTATATGGATCCCGAGTCTGTCCTTGGAGTCTCTGGAGCTCCTGTTCCCTGGTCTTGTAAACCTTATAGCTCTTAAAGGTCTCCAAGTTCTGGATACGCTTGAGTGATACTGCTTTACAAAACTTAAGAGGCAGCTCATACAGTTCTTTTTCCGTTCCTATATTTCTTGTACTGCACAAATTACTGAAAGTCTACATAGAATCACCTAATGATTTCCTCACCTGATGTTTAAACTATGCGAGGTTTCTCTCCCTAGTGCTGTTCTTGTCAGGCAGAAATACTGAAGGGTGAGGCACATTTCTTTAAATGTACTCCCATAAAATTGTTACTACTTTTGGGGTTTTGTTTTGTTTATATTTTTTTTCAATAGGTGAACCTGAAGAGACAAAAGGCTTGGACAGTGTTTGCCACACCACTATAAAATGTACTTGCAAATGACTGCCTGAATAATTCCCGTTCTATAAAGTTATCAGTCATAAATGTAGAGTTCAGAAAATTGAGGATGTTACTCTACCTACCTTTAGACTGCCAACTCCACAACTTCAAATATAACTTTTATCAGGTTATAAAATATTTTCTCAGAAATTATGTTTTCTTGTTTCCTTCAGGGATTATCTTGGTATTTCCAAATTCCTACTATTTCAAAGTCTCTTTGAAAGTATACAGCAGCACACTCCATACATCAACCTAGAAACATTTTCAGCACAAAACCAAAAAGACCCAACAAGCCAACAAGAAGCTGAATGGACAAGTTTACTTCCTAGCATCCAGCTGAGCAGGATACTTCAGGATGTATTTAAGCAAGTACAAGTGTAACCCCAGAGAGTTCAATGGGACTAGCCACATCTCCTATACTATAAACACAATTACCCTGCACAGAACCCCTTGATCCTTCTTTTACTCCAATTTGTCTAGGTTCCAGAACCAATAAAATGTACAAGCTTCCCAGGTGACCTCTTGAACACTTCAGGCGAAGGAACTAAACTTTGAGAAACACATCATCTTTGGAACAGTTAATGCGTACAGGAGTACAGAAAGCCAGTTACACTCTACAGGACTGTAGATGAAAAATAGTTCAAGATTATTTTCTTCATCTAGCGTAACCTTTTCAAATAAAATTCGGATTTCATGCTATAATAATATATTTTATGGCTCTTTCCAGTTCTGGCCACATGGAACACTACTTTATAGGATATAACCATCTGCTAACAGAAGAGAAAATATTAAAGCAAGTAATGATACAATTATATCTCTGGAAGTAAGATACTCTCCTGAAAGTTTATACCAGGAGGACCCTATAGAATGCACCAGATTTTCATATAACTTTTGGATTGTTGCTCCCTCTCAGCAGGCTAAACCACTAAACTACTGTCAAATATCAGTTATTGATAAGCCACCTTATCCCATGCTCTTCCTCTTGTTTTAGCCTATTTTCATAGTCACATCAAGCCCAAGATGGCATTATAAAGAGTTTGTCTTGTGGGTAATATAAGAGTTGGAGAACAGAATAACATTTCTGTAATTCTTAAATTTCAATTCATGGCTCATGTCCTCCCTTTCACGTCACTCTCAAGTTTGACTTCACTGCTTTTGAGCAGAAGTAGGTAAATATTCAAATCAGCATCATTTTCCTGGGCCAGGAATCAATGGATTAGGACGAGTGATTTTCAGCCTTTGCGCCATGGTCATAACATGACTGCAAAAAAGCAAAGAAAGATTCCTAACAAAATTTTTCACACCACTATGCAGGGCATACGAATTGAAAAAAATCAAAACCTAATGGGGGCTGGATAAAATCTAACAAAACCATAATGCATCAGAAAGAGAGCCTACTGGATCCCTCCTTATTACTTCTTGAAGACACCGCAGGACCATCCCATACATTTCCCAGTGCTTGATTCCCTTCTCCTTCCTTTCTGACTACAAAAGCCTCAAGTTTTCTACCTCCTTAAGTTTCTCCAGGATAGCACATTCATTGCCAGGAAGGCAGGCACAATAAATCCAGATTTGGTACTGAGAACAAAAGGGAGACAGCAGAGCTCACTCAGAGAATGACATGAAGAGACTGACAGGTAGGTACGGCCTGTATGGTTAAAAACCTGCGATTTCCAACTGTGATCTGAATCCTCGTGCACTGCGCTCTCTCCAGATAACACTGAAACAAAAGTTCCTGCCTTGAACAACCTGCAATCTAGAGCACAACAGAACTATTCATCATGTGTCCTTATCCTCACACAAACCTGCAAAGATTTCTACAAGATCCTCAGTGAAAACAGAGGTTGATTCCCTCCCTGTGGTATACAAGAATGGGGATGGGAGCTTTCTCTGAAATGAAAGCCTCACTGGGAACTCCATCTGTCTAAAGCCAGGGGTTCTTTTCTCTATGACATCTCACTTTTAAGAGAAAGTGGAGTATAAAGAATCTGGTTTTAACTGTGGTTATAGATAGGATTTGGTCCTCCATCATCTTCAAATAAAAAGAAGAAATAAATGAAAACACCTAAATTCCAGTTCTCTTCAGGTTACAAGATCACTTGCATTTTCATTTTCTACATGGGAGGTCCCTGCCCAGATGCTGAGCTGTCTCCACCTTTCTGGATGTGAACCTTGCGTGACTGTTAAGCAGGCCTGCCAGACACCATGCCAAAC